CAAGATTATAGTAAGGAATATCAAAGAGGCGTGGAAAGGCTACTTGGTTGAGCTGCACAGGTTTTAGGGAGTTAGACTGGAGGAAGGGGAGATACTCCTCTTCATACAACCACGGATACAACAATTCCAGGAGGCGTTTCAGCCACCTCAGGGATTGCCACCACCAAGGGAGCAGGAGCACGCTATCTATCTGAAGGAGGGTGTGTCACCCTTCAGTGTTAGGCTCTATCGATATCCTCAATTTCAAAAGGATGAAATTGAGAAATTGATCAGAGAGATGCTAGAGGCAGGTATCATTAGACCAAGTATCAGTCTTTTCTCTAGTTCCATGTTACTAGTGAAAAAAAAGAAGATTGTAGCTAGAGATTTTGTGTGGACTACAGGGCAATTAACAAGAAAAATGTACCAGACAAGTTTCCTATACTAGTAATTGATGAATTGCTAGATGAATTAAGTGGGGCGGTGATGTTTACCAAGATAGATATGAAATCAGGATATCATCAGATCAGAATGAAGAAGGAAGTTCTGCTAAAAATTGTTTTCAGAACTCACGAAGGGCATTATGAATTCCTAGTGATGCTGTTTGGCCTCACTAATGCTCCAGCCACATTCCAGTCACTTATGAATAAGGTATTCAAACCTTATCTTCGGCAGTTTGTCTTGGTATTTTTTGACGATATGCTAGTTCACAGCAGGACAGAGGAAGAGCATTGGGAGCATCTGAGGAGGGTGTTGGAGCTATTATAGGAGCATCAACTGAAGGCCAATTTGAAGAAGTGCTGCTTTGACCAAACGAATGTGGAATACTTTGGTCACATTGTATCCAAGGATAGGGTGGCAGCTGATCAATCAAAGATTGAGGCTATATTGAGATGACCATTACCAAAGACCCTGAATGAGTTGAGAGGTTTCTTATGACTAACAGGGTACTATTGGAGGTTTGTAAAAGGGTACAACACGATAGCATGACCATTGACATAACAACTGAAGAAGGATGGCTTCCTATGGGGAAAGGAGGCTTCAACAACATTTGAGAGGTTGAAGAGAGCAATGACTATACTAGTTTTAGCATTACCAGACTTCACCTAGGTCTTCGTAGTGGAGATAGATGCTTCAGGGTACAGACCGGAAACAATACTCATACAGTGTGGTCGACCAATTGCTTATTTCAGCCAGGTGCTGAAAGCTAGTGCCAGGCTGAAATCAGTATATGAGCGGGAGTTGATGGCCATCATCGTAGCTATCCAAAAGTGTCGGCTTTACCTACTAGGTAGATACTTCATTGTCACGACGGATCAACGGAGCTTGAAATATTTGTTAGCAACGGATGGTGACAGAGGAACATCAGAGGTGATTGTCCAAATTATTGAGGTATGATTTTGAAATCTAATACAAGCCAGGAGTGGAGAATAAACTAGCAGATGCCTTGTCCAGGTGCATGAGAGAGTTGCAGGCGATGGCAGTATCAATTCCATTGAAGTTAGATTGAGAGGCCATCAAGGAGGAGAGTGTTAGGGATAAGGATTTGGGGAAGATCATAGTCGATTTACAGAAGGAAGGGAGTAGCCATCCAGGTTTTTCATTAGAGGGGGATCGACTCTGTATCAAGGGAGGTTTGTGATACCCTAGACTTCAGTCTACATTCCATTCTTACTCTGAGAGTTCCATGAGAGCGCTGTGGGGGGTCATTTAGGGGTGCTAAAGACATACAGGAGATTAGCCTCAAAACTATACTGGGAGGGAATGCATAAAGATGTGTAGGAGATGGTGGCCAGATGTGAGATCTGCCAGAGAAACAAATACTTGACTATATCACCAGGAGGACTACTACTGCCATTGGCTTTACTTGGGTAGGTATGGGAAGAGTTATCCATGGAATTCATAGATGGGCACCGCGTTCAGAAGGATTCACAGTGATTTTGGTGGTAGTAGACAAATTGAGCAAGTATGCTCATTTCATCCCTCTACGACACCTATACACCACAGTGACAGTGGTATCAACTTTCATCAGAGAAGTGGTCAGATTGCATGGGGTACCAGAGGCGAGAGTATTAGACAGAGATAAGATGTTTCTCAGCCATTTCTGGAGAGAGTTGTTCAGATTACAGGGGACTATTCTGAAGATGAGCACGACCTATCACCCACAGGCGGACGGTCAAATAGAAGTGGTCAACAGAAGCTTGGAGACCTACCTCAGATGTTTTGTATCGGAGACACCCAAGTTATGGGCCAAATATTTATCTTGGGTGGATTATTAGTACAACACTCCTATCATTCGGCTTCACATATGACACATTTTAAGTTGTACGGAAGAGACCCACCCACTTAGTGTACTTTGGATAGAGTCAGTTTCATCAATAGAAGAGTACTTAGATGAGAGAGACAGAGTATTTGAAGAATTGAAAAGACATCTACTGAGAGATTAACAAATTATCAAGAAACAGGCTGACGGACATAGAAGAGACATCCAGTTTGAGGTAGGGGAAAAGGTGTTTCTGAAACTCGAACCTTATAGACAAAAATCATTCGCCAACAGTATAAATGAGAAGCTTGCCCCACGATAATTTGGGCCATATGAGGTCTGGAAAAGACTGGAGCAGTTGCGTATCTGCTGAAGCTACCATCAACAACGACTATACATCCGATTTTTAATGTATCATAGTTGAGAAGGGCAATTGGAGATTACGTGGCCAGCTCAATGTTATCGAATACACTCATGGAGGACTTAGAAGTGATTTTGGAACCCTTAGAGCTGATAGGGGTTTGCCAGAAGGTAGATGAAGCAAAAGAAGTGATGATTAAGTGAAAAAACCTGCCAGACTACGATGCCACATGGGAACTTTATGAAAGGGTGAAAAATCTGTTTCCCAATTTTCACCTTGAGGACAAGGTTATTCTTTGGGAGGGCAGCAATGTTAAGCCGATTTAGGTTGAACCGGCTCAACCGATCCAGCAAGGGCCGGTCTAAGTCTACAGGAGGCGGACACAAGCTGCTTCCCACTTAGCCCCCTAAAGCATTGGGGCCCACAACCTTATTGGTTGCCGCCCAAAACAAATATTTAAAATAATTTATTTTTAGTAAGGGGGGGGGGGGTTATTCCATAAAGGATTTTATTTTTATTTTTATTAGAATATTAATGCTATAAATAGGAATGAGAGGGGAGGGTTAGGGTATGCTTGATTATTGTTCTCTTGTAGTTTTCCTTGGGGTCTTTGGCTCTAGATTCATCATCTAGAGATTGGGAGAGAATGATCATCCTCTTGAATTAAGGATCACTTTTATCATTGCTTGTGCTTGTTTTGATTTGATTTCTATAAAAATATCTATTGCTTTTGATTATTTTCATCAATGTTCTTGAATATTGCTCGCTATTTTACCGATTATTGTTAGGATTGCTTGCGAACTCAAGTACTTCCCTTTAGGGTTAATTGCGAACTCAAGTATTTCCTATCAACTCTACATTTTGTATTGAAGATATTATCATATAAAATGTATTATTATGACATTTTTCTAGCACTCTCATGTTTAATGGTATTAGTACTGTTTAGGAAATGTTTGACAAAAAGGTGCCACTTGGATGTTTGAAATAGAAAAATTATTCCCGTTACTATACTGGTACCTATGTTGCACCGATACACCTATTTATGAAGGCGTACTGTATCCGATAACAGATACGCCTCCGATACTTGTCGGATGCGACTTTGCCGTATCTAATTAAAATACTATTTAATTTCAAAAGGACACACGTATCCGATACTTGTGTCCGCGCGTATCCGATACTTGTGTCCTTTGAAAATAAAAAAAAATACGAAAAAAGACCAATCATATTTACTTCTGCGGCTGCGAGCGAGGTTCTCTCATTTCCGAGATGGAGTTTGAGTCTCTTGATGATATGGGAATATTAGAAATTGCTAATCTTTCACTTGATGAGCCTGAATTAGAAGCTATGATATTTATTGAAGATGATATAGAAGTTCAAAGACAAACCACTGAAGAAACTGATCACATCATTCCTTGTATTGAATAGTTGAAACTTCATGTGATAGACAATTTATGTTTATGCTTTTATTGTTGTACTAGACATTTAATACTTATTTTTATTTTGATATTATAAGCTACAAGGCTACAAATGATGTTACTTTCATTTTTTTTGTAATTTCAAATATTATGCTTTGATTGCTTTCTTAATTTTTATATATGATTTATAAATTATAATGCCTTGTCCGTGCTGTACCCGTATCCTTTATTTTTAAGAATTGACGTGTCCCGTATCTGTATCGTGTCGTATCCGTGTCGCCGTATCCGTATCGGTGCAACATAGGCTGGTACAAGCATCATTATGCAGTCAATCATCTCTGGTATTTTATCAATTGCCATGCAAGTCCTACTATTAGCCATCAATCATTTCTGTATGAGATTATTTCCATTTTAACTTCGTAGTTTTAAAAACAAAAATTTCCATACCAACATAGATAGTCTCTAGACTTGACATATTTTTCTTATACATGATGGATCATATGATTTCTTGTAGGTCATGCTCTAAGCTCCCACCATTGCTTGGTCTACGAGGGGGTGAATGCAGCTTAACTGCTTCATATGAGAGAGAACATTTTTTTTAATTTGAACATGCAATTTTAGTGGTCACAGCGAGTTTTTCTGTGCTCTATTTTGATAGCATATTTCACCTTGAATTGAAAGAGTGATATTATGGAATTATTTCTGGAATGGTTAATTGTTTTGTATAATTGCAGTATTGTATTCTGAAATGTTTGTCATATTTGTTGAACCTTTTGACAAAGGTTAGAATTGCATGTTATTAAGCCATATAAATTATATCATTAATTAGTATTAAGCATTATCTGTTGTTTTGTATAATAGCTATCATTATTTCTGGCATACTTGTTGACTAACTTAAATATATTAGATGAAGGTACATAAATTATATAATTAATTAAGTTGCTGTTATAAGAAGCTATATATATATATTTCTGCATCGCAGATTCTAAAACTTTGAAAGAGGAAAAAAGGGAAGAACTGTTTGAGAACTTAAAAGCTGATACCTCTATTGGATGGGAAGTTGATGTCATAAGCCCTAGGGAATTGTCAGCTAAGATGCTAAAAAAGTGAGTGCTAGCTAACCATACACCCTTCATTGGGAAAATTTTTTAACTTAATTTCTTGATGACTCAGGGAGAAGATTAATTTGAATGAAATATCACACAACTCAGCTATTGGCCTTGTCAGAAGGGTTCTTGGCATGGGAGTTCTATTGAGTGAAGTAAATATCTATTCTAATTTAATGTTTTTGTGGTTGAATCTAATGAATAATATCCTGTCTTTTTCCTTTTTCCTCAATGGATTTGTATATTTTGCTCCTAATCAATGGAGTTTTTCGCTGAAAAGGTTTTTGTAGATACTGTTGGAGATACGGAAAAGTATAGCACCAAGTTGTCTGAATTATTCCCAGGTGTAAAATTTCTTGTGGCGAAGAGAGCTGATAGTCTCTATCCAGTGGTTAGCGGAGCGAGCATAGTCGCAAAGGTGGAAATCTTTTTCTTAAAAAACTTGTGTGATATGATGTCTGCTAAAAATTTAAATTCCATAAGTCATCGTTATTATCATCAGTAGAACATCCCAACTATTAGGTGACAGTTTTCTTTATCCTCTGGTCATTTCTCCTCCATATTTTTTTTAAATTTATTAGATTGCAATATTGAATAGATTAAATATGAGCCAATTTGGATAAGGCTCCTTCCATAGGCCACCACGCTTTTTTTGCTTTTATGGACACCCATGCTACCATTTTTTACTTTAGCTAGTAAATTTGATACCAAATGCGAAAGAATTAAACAACTTTTAGTTCGTTCTGTGACATTCTTGAGATACGCATACTGTTTAATCATTGGTGACGGGAATGCATTTGTTTATTTGTGTAAAAATTAAAAAAGATAGTAGTAATAATGATGAATGCTTTTGACGTATTGCTGCTTCATTGTTTTATTTTGATTATTGACAAAAACTATTTAGCTAGTGCCAGAATTTATACTTTAAGTTAGGATGCAAGGGCACCAGTCACTATAGGAAAAACAAAGATTTCCAACAATATTTCCAGCGGAATAATGTTCATCGAAAATGATGACAGAATAATGTTCATCTAAATTTTCACTAAAATTTTTGGATAACTTTTCCGGCGAATTTACGATGGAAATTGATGTGAAATATGCAAGTGAACAAGAGTTGTTTTGAAATTTAACAATAGATTGAACATTAACGTTGCTAATTAAAACGAATGCTTCACTAAGTCGAATTCGTAGGACTTTCCGTTAGGAGATTAAGTAATAGCAATCGATTACAAAGAGAGTAACAAGACAATTGAAAATAACAAAAATCAAAATAGTAAGACTAATAGCAAATAAACAAAAATCCATGACGTAACATCAAGAAATTTTTACCATGAGTTCCTTCTCACTCGCTCTTGAGGTTGGGTTTAGCGGAGGAACAATAGAAGCAATCATAATGATGCCACCACAAGACAAGTGGCGCGTAGGGCCTTGTTTGCCGGAGAAGTAGCTGGAGGGGAAGAGGACGTTGATCGGCCGACGAGTAGCCAAGGTTCTTTGGGTTGTTGATATTCAATCCTCTTGGCGAGGCAATAGAGGATGCGGTTGACGTAGCTCTTCATGGACTCTTCGTATTCCCAATCCGGATCGTAGAAAGGAGAAAGTAGGATATCGATTTCTCCTTGTGTGTTGTAGGCAAACCTGTGGTCGACCTCAGGGTCGACCTTACACCAAGGGAAAGAAGGAGGAAGGAGCTTGTCTTCTTCTTTTGACTTCCAAATACATGAGAGGCGTCAGCTTCCAAGGGGAAGGAGGCAAGTGGGAGGGGCGCCAAGGAGAGAGAGAGGGGGCGGCTTGGGCACGTGGGATCTAGGTTAGATTAGGGTTGGGAGAGAGAGTTTTATTAAATCTAAAATTAGTTCAGATTTTAGGAGAATTGGAGGGAGTTGGATTTGAAAATTTGAATTCAAATTCAACTAAGTTTTAGGGACTTAATAGGAAATCAATGGGTGAATCCCATTAAGGGGGCCGATAGCATTATAAGAGGAGGGAGGGGATTGGGGAGGTTTTAAATAACTTCCAAACAAGCTTTTGCAAACTACGAAAGAGAATAATAAATCCTCTCTAAATTAAATTTAGATTGGATTTAAATTTGAAAACTTTCCTTATTTAGGATTTGTAAAGATGGAAAGTTTTTGAAATTCGAATTTGAATTTCAAATAATTTTAACACCATCCTTTCATGCTTGAGCCAATTTAGGGAGTCATTAAGATGATTGGAATCACCATAATGACGTGGAGTAAAGGTGGCCGACGGCAAGGAAAGAGAGAGGGGGTTGGCGTCGGGTTGGGGTGGTGAAAGGGTTAGTTCGGGGCGTGGGGTTTTGGGAGTTGTAATTGAATTGGATCTAGGGAAGGGAGTTTGAAGGTTGGTCGGCGGTGGAAGGGAAAGGAGAGGCCGGAGGGAGATGACGAAGAAGTAAGGAGAAAGGAAAATAAACCACGAGCCACGAACTCTTCCAATGACTGGTGGGTATTGCGCTTACCCTCACGTTGGACTCTCTCTTCTCTCTAGTGCACACACAAGAAGAAGAAGAAGACAAAGCAAATTTTCATTCAATTCTTTCATCCCCTCTTACAAAGCATAAGACCACTATATATAGGTCTCAAACATGAAGAAAAGAATAGTACACAATTGCCCTCCGGGCTACAATAATAAAACACTCCCCATAGGGGTAAACTCGGAAAATTGAAAAAGTACTAAATAAAACATTAAAATGCATCAAAAGTAAAGATGCTGAACCGTAGCCGTCGATCTATCATTCCGTCGTCGGTACACGTGTCTAAATCTCTGAACGATGTCCTCATCAGAAATTCACCGCAAAATTGCGGCGGAAATTGCCGCCGCAAATCCGCCGCAAGCTGACCTTATCTAACTGATTTGTTCTCCATCCGTTTCATTTGCTTGGTTTGATTTTCTCTGTTCTTCGAGTAGGCTCTCCGCCGTTTCGTCTCTCTTTAACTTCGTTGCCTCTTCCCCGCTTGTTCGTTGCTCTTCGACTTCGCCTCCTCCGGTTCATTGCTCGAACTCGTCACCTTAGCCTCTGTCGGATCGTCGCCTTCGCATCTGTCGGTTTGATCGTTCATCTTTGACTTTGCCCGACCTGTTGGATGCTCTTAGACTTTACCTACTTCAGGACGTTTCTAGCTTTTCGTTAATCTTTGACTTCGCCTGAACTCTGGCTCTTCGTTAATCTTTGACTTCGCCTGATTAGACGAGGTTTCGTTGCTCTTCGTCCTGTTAAATTTTGGGGAGTGCTAAAATTTTTTCAACTTTTAGTTAATTATTACGAAATATCACTTTTTTGTAAAATTACATATGATTTGGATTGATTTTATTGCTGAAATTATTTATCTTTTATTTGATTATCACTATTCTTCTCTGGAAGGTTGAATTGTGGAGTTAGTTTAAGATTCTAATTAGATAGTATTGGTTCCCTTAACTATTTAAGTTTGTTTGGAACCTTTTGGCCTTGATTTGGTATGACGATCATGATTTGTGTTAGGAAAACAAGTTGTTTGATCTAGTATGATGTTCATGATTTGTGTTATACTATTAGAAATATATGCTATATAATAATTGTTTAGATTTTGACATATTTATATATCATGTGGTCGTCTCCCAACTCCTTAGCTTGTAATAACTATCAATATGGGTTAGACTTATTTAACATACCAATTGTTAAGCAAGCCCTCGATAACTCTTGAACTATTTCAACATACAATTATCGAGGCTTGTGAATGCCTTTAGGTCTGACATAGGTCATCTCATCAGGAATTTTGCCCTTACCTTTTTCCCTTACCCTTAATGGGGAAGGGAAGGGCATGCTTTATGTTAATTCTTAGTTTGCCATTTATATAAAATTATATTAGTATTATATAAGTAATTATTTATGTAAATCTTGTTTTTGTTAAACCATCCAAATTGCCCAATAAAATATCTAGTGTTACATGCATTACATTGTAAAAAGAGGGATTGTTATAGAACAATAGCTTTTGTAATCAATAAAATAATTATATATGCAATAACATTAAATTGATACAAATCTCATTTGGTTGTAGGATTTTTTAGCTCAAGTGTGTTATGGATATTCGAAATCATAGATGTTAGATGCATAACTGAGTGTTGCCTGTACGTAAGACGTTAATAGAAGAATTCGTCAACATAGTGAATTTTTTCATCCAGGCAGGCTGTCAATTATCTTTTTTTTTTAATCCAGATTTGTGATTAGCTGTATCCGTAACATCTGTCCATTTTTATAAAGCTAACAAAAAATAATCTATTTTCTAATTTTTTATATAGAGAGAGTTTTCTACTGGTTGTTGGAGCACAATGTAAAGATAAGAATTAATTTTGAGAAACATGGATCAACTAACCTGTGAGACATGTTCACAACCATTAGGAGGACAGGCGAGCGACTGCTATGGATTGGAGAGAATGTATGGGTCGACCTCAACAGTGCTTGGGGCAGCCTAGATTATACAAAGAGAATGGATCATAATAAATGAAAATCGAGCTTCTAACGTCATGGGCATGGGTAGTTCTTTTTATACTCGGGGCTCAATTTTACATATTGAGCACAGTTGATTTTTGGTAAGAATTTTAACATATTTTAATAATTTATTGAGTTATGCATACTAATCTAAGTATATTGCAGAAGGAGCTCTTGTGTAGAGAACCAACTTCTGTTGAGTTGCAATGCATACTAATCTAAGTATATTGCAGGAGCTTTTGTGTAGAGAACAAACTTCTGTTGAGTTGCATAGTCATACTCATAAACTTTAGGAGGACTAGCAGTGAGTGGACGAGTGAGCGAGGAGGGCCTATGTGAGTATATAAGTTTGTAATATTAAGAGAAATATTTTAAGTGACAATTATACTATATGATTAATTATATGTTATTTTTGTAGGATGAGTATATACAACTTCGAGAGAGTCAGGCTTATGGTGAGGGATCCTTTGGAGCTTCAATAGATTATTCTGACTATCCCATTTGGTCGCAGACGGTAGGTGTAATGCAGAAGAGACGAATTTATGGATTAAGCTCACAGGCCTACATGTATGAGGGACAGTCTTTTGGTGTATCTAGCTTCTCTGCAAGCAGCTAAAGAGAGTTAGAATGAGAGAGCAGATTAGTGGAAATTAGCCTGCGCCTGCATCGGGCGAGTAGGAGAGTGAGAATACATATCATGGATTCATGATAAGTGAAAATTAGTCTTGGCTTTTTCATACATGTTGGTTCTTTTGATGTATAAGAATTGTATGTTTATTATAGTAGTGTTTTATTATTCTAGAACAGTTGTATATAGTTTGTGCAATTTGTTTCAATATTTTGGATCAATATATTTATGCAATGTTAAAATATTATAATATTTAACTAGTACATAAAAACTGTTTGTATTATGATTGTTGTAAAGTTGAATAATTGACATGATGTGCTGTTTCTTTTTGTTTATGCTATAAGTTTTCGACAGATTTTATGTTGGAAATAATGATGCAACGAATTTTAATAACATCTGCGGTGGAAAAATTTTCTCCGTTATTTACGGTAGATTTGTGGTGGAAATTTTCGTTGTAATTTGCCATTGCAAATCCACCATAAAATCGCTGTAAATAACGGTGAAAATTTTCGTAGAAAACTCAACAAAGAACGTCGTTTTTCGGTGCTCAAAATCCCTCGAAAATCTGCTGGAGATATTTTTGCCAAAAATGGCTTTTCGACGCTACTTTTCATGACGGATTATATACCACCGGTAAGCCTATTTACTGGCGGAATTTGCTAAGTATCCGGTGGAAACTTTCGCCAAAAATAGCTAATTTTTCTGTAGTGAGTAATTTCTTCTACATTTAGGTCACAATTTTTGTTGTCAGCATAACCTTATGTGAATTGCTTAGTCAGACTTTATGAATTCTCATTCTCCGTTCATTCCTTTAGAGTGTTAGTTGAAGTGTTAAATTTGCACTAGGCTTTTTGGCTCAAAGTTGCAGACATTACCTTTGCTCATTGCCTTAACTCTGTTGATTATTTCAAATTAATTTTACTTATCTAAATGCCAGATCAGTGGAGAATGAGTGTGTTAATTCCTATTTTTAAGTATAAAGGTGATGCACAGGAGTGTGCGAATTATAGAGGAATTAAGTTAATGTGTCATACTTTAAAACTATGAGAGCAAGTTATGGAGCGTAGGTTGCGACGTGATACTAATGTTTCTCAAAATCAATTTGGATTCATGCCGGGTAGGTCTACTATTGAAGCCATACATTTATTGAGAGGTTTGATGGAGAAATATAGAGAGAATAAGGAGGATCTACATATGATATTTATTGATTTAAAGAAAGCATATGATAAAGTTTCAAGAGAAGTGCTATGGAGAATTCTTGAAAAAAAAGAAGTTAATAATGCTTATATTCAAATCATTAAAGATATGTATGCAGGAGGTGGTTTGACCAAGTATTTTCCTATTTCGGTTGGATTATATCAAGGATCAGCCTTAAGTCCATATCTTTTTGCTTTAGTCATGGATGTTCTTACTAGACATTTGCAAGAGGATGTACCTTGGTGTATGCTTTTTGCTGATGGTATTCTTCTTGTTGATAAGACTAGAGAGGGAGTTGAAGGTAAACTCAAATTATGGAGGTCAACTTTAGAGTCTAAAGGTTTTCGCTTGAGTAGATCTAAAACTGAATATATTGAGTGTAATTTTAGTAGCAATAGACCTAGTGATGAGATTGTGACTTTGGGCGATCAAGCCATTAAAAAGAGTACACATTTTAGATATCTTGGATCTGTTGTTCAGAGTGATGGTGAAATTGATGGGGATATTATCAGTAGAATTCAAGTTGGATGGTTGAAGTGGAAGAATGCATCGGGCTTATTGTGCAATAGAAAAGTCTCCCTCAAACTTAAGGGAAAATTCTATAAGATGGTGGTGAGACCTGCAATGCTTTATGGTGCCGAATGTTGGCCATTAAAAGAGAAGCATAATACTAAGTTAAGTGTTGCAGAGATGAGGATGCTTAGGTGGATGAGTGGCTTGACCCTTAGAGATAGGATACGAAATGAGCATATTCGTGAAAAGGTTGGAGTAGCTCCAGTGGAAGATAAGATTAGAGAGAGTCGCCTTAGATGGTTTGGTTACATTAAACGGAGGCCTTCCGATGACCCGGTTAGGAAAGTTGAGGTATTAGATTTGACTTATGTTAAGAAAGGTAGAGGTAGACTTAAAAAGACTTGGTTAGAAAATATTAGAAATGATCTTTCTTTATTAGATTTAAATGAGAATTTGACTTTTAACCGGACGCAATGGCGAAAAAGGATTCATGTAATCAACCCCACATAGTGGGACAAAGGCTTGATGTTGTTGTTGTTGTTGTATCCTTTCAATTTAATCTTTCTTACCGGCACTTTTATGGCATTTTCTTTGCACGCTTAGACTATCAAAGTTTATTATTTAATACTGACTCGTGAATCTTGAATTGGTGTTATCTCCATACTTTAAATTTAATAAGTTACGTCATATATTTTTTAGTTTCACCAATGACTTAGCATCTCATATATGATATATCGAACTTGGTTGTCAATGACTTTTTGTTAACAAACAGTTAGATTTATATACTTTATGTTATTGCATATTATGGTGACATTTATTTATTTTAACTAACCAACTTTAAATCTCATTCTTATGCCAATTTTTGAGGTTTGAAGATGATTTACGGGGGTTTAACTTAATATGTAACTTGGGATTAAACCCCATTTTAGAAAACATAATTTTAGAAAAGCTTTTGGAACTTGAATTAGCATTTAGCTTTTGGTGTCTGATTTGGGGTTGTAATATGGACCTATTGATATTGTTGATGCAAACTATAACTACTTTCTCTCATCTTCTAAGAGATTGCACACCGATTTATTTTGAGTGGATTTTCTTTTGCCCTCGAATGTGAAGATGTAAGGTTTGAATCTCAACAAAATAAGCCTTCAGAAAGAACATTGTCTTATAGATGTTTGAGATGTGAAATTGTTGAGTACAATACAATGGTGTGGAAGAAATTTTTATTTTATTTTATTTTATGTGGAATCATTTATCAATAATGAATATGATGAATGGATAAAGCAATTACAAAGTGACCCAACACGACAAGAAGATGCTAAACTTTGCATTGTTTTACTAAAATAATAGTTTACGCTTATGAGAGTGGGCAGTGTATATATAATTCTCTACTAAATGGTTGTTTGTTTGAATGTATTAGGAGTGTAAAGTAAGTCAAATGTAGGGTTTTAAAAATTTAGATGTTTGGTTCAAAGAGAAACAAATGATAATTGTTGAGGAAATTTTGAATACGTTGCTTAGTTCATTTTTAGCATATTTCAAATTCAAATAAATCGGGTGAATTTAGGATTCACCACGAGCAACCTCACTCCTTTGCATTCACACAAAATTCTAGAGACCCTCAAAACCTGGCCGTTTCACTTCTGAAATGCCAAAGCCATCATAACTTCCACCTCAAGCACTACATCGTGATTCGCCTCCATCCTTGTAACTTTGCACTTTGCCCTTTGCCCTTTGCCGTCCATCAAGAGCCCTCATGAACTCCACCCCTCATGTAGATCTAATGACCTTTTCCCTCTAGACTCACTCTCTATTGGCGTCGTGACCTTGCGCCTTCGTCCTTTCCTCTACAACTCCTAGCCTGACCACTGACTAGTGGCTCCAAAAATCCGTGCCCGGCCTTTATGTGCCTTTTTTGTCAACAAGGAGAGTTTTAACAAATTATGTTTTGGGGTAAATTTTAGATGATAGATTAGATTTTAGATAATACACTACCTAGAGATTTCGACCTCATTTTGCAAGGTTTTTTATTTTTATCGACGTATTAGTAAAATCGAAGTTAAAGAAGCTTTAAAGAAAATGAAGTGTGGAAAAGTTGTTGGACCTGATGATATTCCATTAGAGTTGTGAAAATGCTTAGGAGATGAAGGAATTTCTTGTCTTACTAAACTTTTTAATATTATTTTGAAGACTAAAAAAATGTCAGATGAGAGGAGAATGAGTGTGATGATTCCTATTTTTAAGAATAAAGGTGATGCATAAGATTGTGCGAATTATTGATGAATTAATTTAATGTGTCGTACTTTAAAATTATGGGAGAGAGTTATGGAGCATAGGTTGCGGTGTGATACTAATGTTTCTTGAAATCAATTTGGATTCATGCCGGGTAGTTCTACTATAGAAGCTATACATTTATTGAGAGGTTTGATGGAGAAGTATAGAGGGAATAAGGAGTATTTACATTTGATATTTATTATTTTAGAGAAAGCATATGATAAAGTTCAAAGAGAAGTGCTATGGAGAGTTCTAGAAGGAAAATGGGTTAATAATACTTATTTCAAGTCATTAAAGATATGCATGCAGGAGGTGTTACTTGTGTTCAAACATAAGGTGCTTTAACCAAGTATTTTTCTATTTCATTTAGATTACATCAAGGATCGACCTTAAGCCCATATCTTTTTGCTTTAGTCATGAATGTTCTCACTAGACATTAGCAAGAGATTGTACCATGGTGTATGATTTTTGTTAATGATATTCTTCTTATTGGTAAGACTAGAGAGGATTCATGTCAGGATTATTTGACAAGTTTTATGCTGGCTGTCAACTATCCAATACAACCCTTCATTTTTCTCACACAGAACTTGGGACCTAGCAACAACAATGTTGTTAAGGTTAGAGAGAATCGCCTTAGTTAGTTTGGTCACATAAAACGACGACCTGGTTAGGAAAGTAGAGGTATTAGATTTGACTTATATTAAGAAAGATAGAGGTAGACCTAAAAAGACTTGGTAAAAAAATATTAGAAATGATATTTCTTTATTATATTTAAACGATAATTTGACTTTTAACAGGGCACAATGGAGAAAAAGGATTCAGGTAGCAGACCCCACGTAGTGGGTCAAATGCTTGATGATGTTGTTGTTGTGGTAAGACTAGAGAGGGAGTTGAAGGTAAACTTGAATTATGGAGGTCAACCTTAGAGTCTAAATGCTTTCGTTTGAGTAGATCTAAAACTGACCATATAGAGTGTGTAATTTTAGTAATAATAGATCTAATGGGGAAATTATTACT